AGCTTGTTACCCAATTTAACATGCCACATAAAGCATGTTACCCCTTTCACAAAATGTTGTTATTATTGATATATATGGCTAAACGTGAACGTATACAGCCTCGCATACTCTGCTAATCCTAGCAAAACCATTGAAAACGTAAGAACCACACATACATTATGTATAAAATTAATAATAGCTACAAATTCACAGTAACAGTGGGTAAATACTAACTATATACTGCACAGGGCAGTACACATACATACCAGCTTATGTCTACCTCGGCTGATGCTCACAGATAAACTGACAGTGTGAAATAGAGGCAGCCTCAGGAAGTGAGTGACGCGTACTGGACAGGTCGATCTGGGCTACTGAGTGACTTTTGTCCTGAAGCATACTTGTCAAAATACTTTTGGGTTTCCACACACTTAGCTATATATTTCTTCTTTTCTAATACTGTATATTAGTTTTTGATGTTTATTGTTATTTGGTTTAACTTTATTACTTACTTATAATATGTTTACTTTACAACTTTATATACTAAGACAAAGTTAACAATAATCCTCATACCGGGTACCGCATTGTTTTCTTGATTTTCAGAATTCATAACTTTTTTTCTGTCACCCCTCCATTACCCCCCAAAAATTGTTAAATTACCCCCAGGGGGTAATTTACCCCCAGTTTGGGAACCACTGCTCTAGTGTCATCAGGTCGAGTTTCCTTAACCTCTCCCCATAAGACATACCCCTCAGTTCCGGGACTAATCGTGTTGCAAATTTTTGTACTTTCTCCAATTTCGTGACGTGTTTGACTAAGTGAGGGTTCCATACTGGCGCTGCATATTTAAGTACAGGCCTTATGTACACTGTGTACAATGTCGTGAATGACTCCTTACTCAGATGTCTAAACGCCAATCTCAGATTTGCCAATCTCCCATATGCTGCAGCAATTATTTGATTGATGTGTGCCTCAGGGGACATGTTCGTTATAATGCTTACCCCAAGATACTTTTCTTTAACTGACGTTTGCAGCTGTTGGTTTCCTAACCTGTACTCCGTCTGCGGTCTTCTGTGTCCTTCCCCAATCTTCACGACCTTACACTTACTGGGGTTAAACTCCAGGAGCCATTTGTCGGACCATACTTGTAGTTTGTCCAGTTCCCCTTATAATCTTAACTGATCCTCGCCCACTTGTATTCTCCTCATCAGTTTCACATCATCAGCGAACAGTGACACTTCTGAATCTATTCCTTCCACCATGTCATTCACGTATACAAGAAACAGCACCGGGCCTAGGACTGAACCTTGTGGAACCCCACTCGACACATTCGCCAACTCCGACACTTCAGTACGTACCAACGCACGTTATTTCCTTCCTGTCAGGTATTCCCTGATCCATTGTAGTGCTTTCCCCGTTATTCCTGCCTGCTCCTCTAATTTTTGCACCAGTCTCTTGTGTGGTACTGTGTCAAAAGCCTTCTTGCAATCTAAAAAGATGCAATCTACCCATCCCTCTCTCTCCTGTCTTACTTCTGTTACCTTATCGTAGAACTCAAGTAAATTTGTGACACAGGATTTCCCATCTCTGAAGTCGTGCTGAGTGTCATGTATGAGCCCAATCTTCTCAATGTGTTCCACTACTTTTCTCCTGATAATCTTTTCCATGACTTTACATACTATACAAATCAGTGACACTGGTCTGCAGTTTAATGCTGCCTGTCTGTCACCTTTCTTAAAAATTGGAACTACATGCGCTGTCTTCAACGCCTCAGGCAACTGCCCTGTTTCGATAGATTTACTGAAGATTGCTATTAATTGCACACACAGTTCCTCTGCTCCCTCTCTCAGTATCCATGGAGATATGTTATCTGGGCCCACCGCCTTTGAGGTATCGAGTTCGTCTAGCAGTTTCTTCACCTCTACCTTGGTTATGTGTATTGTGTCCAGCGCCTGCTGGTGCACCCTACCTCCACAGTTTACTGGAAGCATTCCTGACTCTATTGTGAATACTTCTCTAAATCTTTGGTTTAGTTCATGACATACTTCTTGGTCACTCTTCGTCAGCTCTCCTCCTTCTTTCCTCAGCCTGATTACCTGGTCCTTGACTGTTGTTTTTCTACTAATGTGACTGTATAACAACTTTGGTTCAGATTTGGCTTTTGATGCTATGTCGTCCTTGTATTGCCTCTGGGCCTCTCTCCTTATCCTTGCATATTCGTTTCTGGTTCTTCTGCTCAGCTCCTTGTTTTCTTGAGTCCTTTGCCTTCTATACCTTTTCCATGCTCTAGCACACTTGGTTTTGGCCTCTTTACACCTCCAATTAAACCATGGGCTCACTCTGGTCTTACCATTTTTTCTGTTCCCCTTTGGTATGAACCTTTCCTCTGCCTCCCTGCACTTAGTGGTTACTATTTCCAATCTTTTCATTTACTGTCTTTCCATCTAGGTCTCTTTCCCACTGCACTTCATGCAGGAAACTTCTCATTCCTATGTAGTCCCCTTTTTTGAAGTTTGGTTTCTCTCTTTGTTCTCGTGCTGCTGCATTCTCCACTGTTAACTCGACAAGATATTCAAAACTCAGGACATCATAATCACTAGTGCCAAGGGGTCTTTCGTGGGTGATATCCCTTATGTCTGAACTATTCAAGGTGAATATGAGATCCAGCCTTGCTGCAACATCCTCTTCTCTCTCTCTGGTTGTATCCCTAACATGTTGATGCATGAAGTTCTCCAATACAGTCTCCAACATCTTAGCCCTCCATGTTTGTGGTCCCCCATGTGGCTCTAGGTTTTCCCAGTCATTCTCTTTATGATTGAAATCCCCCATTATAAGCAATTTTGTCCTATCCATATGAGCCCTCCTGGCCACTTCAGCTAGTGTATCTACCATTGCCCTATTGCACACATCATACTCTTCTCTTGTTCTCCTGCTGTTAAGTGGTGGGTTATACATCACTGCTATCATCACCTTTGGACCACCAGTCTGAAGTGTTCCTACAATGAGTCGTCTGTTTCCCTTCTTTCCATTCCTCCCATCTCAAAACTCCACTGTTTTTTTATGAGCAATGCTATTCCCCCCCTCCTCTGTTCTCTCTGTCTTTCCTCATAATCTGATATCCAGGTGGAAAAATTGCATCTGTTATCATCCCTGTAAGTTTTGTCTCTGTTAGTGCTATGATGTCAGGTGATGCATTAATGATGCGTTCTTGCCACTCTTCACTTTTATTTGTTACTCCATCTGCATTGGTGTACCATACCTTTAGCTTCCTTTCCATTACTGTATTTTGGCAGATGGAAGAGGAAGGTGCAGGCTGGGAGGGTGGGACTCAGGGCACAATATTATGGGAGGCTGCTGTGATTGTGGAATTAGTGCTTAGGGGGATGGTGGCTATGGAGTGAGGTTTGTTTCTGTTTACTGTGTTTGGTTGATATGTGATGACAGGGGTTGAGAGGTTTCTGTAAGCATTTGTGTTTGATGTTCCCCCAAAGGCTGAGTTTTCCTGTCTGTCGTTGCCTGTCCTATCTCTCTTTCCTTCCACTGGTTCTGTCTTGCTCTCACTTTCAGTTGTTCCCTTTCCTTTCGTGCTCTGTCTCGATTGAGGAACACTTTTTGATAATCTGGAGAGACCTTTAACAATGGTTTCTGTTGTAGTATCCTGTTCTGTGCCACATCTGTCTTGAATGTTAATCTGATTGGTCGATTTTTTTCCTTCGAATACCCCCCAAGTCTGTGAAAATTTTCTACCTGAGTCATGTTCCTCTCTCCTGTTATTGCAATGATGTTCTTAATCTCTGTTTTCTCCCAATGCTTTTTTTCATCATAGGTCTGCCCTTCAGCCTCCTGAAGCCCATGAATAATTATTAACCTCTCCCTCTCCTCTTCCCATTTCTTTTCCCTCTGTATCTCTGGATCTGATTTAAGCATCTCCTTTGCTGTTTCCCTAATCATTTCCCAGACACCATGATGGCCTGAAATTACTGCTGCAAAAGACTGCTTAGATCCATCCCCTCCTTCAGTCCTCTCGCTGCCTGCTGATGTTCCCATTTCAGCCATTTTGCTCCTTTCGGACCTCAACTTTAGATCCTGCTTCAGCACATCCATTTCTTCCTCCAATCGCTGTATCTTTCCCTCAGCTACTACAGCTCGTGATTCCCCACTTCTTGTTCTCTGCAGATATTTGCTCTAACATGTTATTGCAAAGCTCGTTTAACCTTTTCTCCCATTGTTGTTCCATTTTGTTCTTGAGCCGTTCTACCCATTCTTCTTTTTCCGACCAGCCAACATCGGTTCCCTTGCCTTCACGTCCTCCCTTTTGAGAGCCCATTTTGGTTTTATCCTGTTGTGATGTTCTAGCTGCTTCAGCTTATCGTAAAAATGTGTGTGTGTGGTGGGGGATTTATGATCTAATGAGTTAGGTTAGGTTTGTGTGTGTGTGTGTGTGTGTGTGTGTGTGTGTGTGTGTGTGTGTGTGTGTGTGTGTGTGTGTGTGTGTGTGTGTGTGTGTGTGTGTGTGTGTGTTTGTGTGTGTGTGTGTGAGTGTGTGTGTGTGTGTACAGAGAGAAAGAGTAGGGATAACTCACTTTGAAAGCAAGAGCATTGTCATGATAAACACCTTACAAACTCATGTTAATACCTTATCGTCTGAGAGTTTTTAGAGCCCTATCATGGAGTATGAAATTAATTATGTACTCTATATAAGATAACTTTGTCTTGCTCAAGGACCCAGTCAGAAACTCATAACTCCTTCTTGGGTGTTGAGTGAGAAGCGAGACGTGAAAGTGTAGCTCGAGACTCCAGAAGCCTGATTCTCAACCCCTCGTAAGTAGGAATAATGACTGTTTAGACTTGCTTTCAAAAATTCATTAAAATTATGGAAGTTACAGCAGAAGTTATAAAAGTTTTTTTGGAAAGAGTCAATCCATTAAATACTAGAAGGACATCTAAATCCTAGCATTATTTAGATGATGGAACGGGTTTAGAACTCTGTCTTATTTTTTAATTTTGAATTATTTCAGATTTACTTTTGTTGAGAGCTCACCGTGGAGGCATGAAGCGAAGGACCTGAGGCCTGCCAGTAAGTGGTCTCTAGCGCTGACGCTGCCTGGCCAGGTGTCCACGTCTGAAGGGTTGACTCTGACGGCAGGTACAAACACTCGACTCAAAAGTCGTTGTACTGAGCGCAGCAGCACCGCCGGGTCGTCACCTGCTTTCACCAGCATGAAGTTCACCTCCTGTGTACATACACGTAAAGGACAGCCTTACAAGTCTACATGGTCAATTATCGTGAAGGAATCAATTTTACTGCTAGATGAACAGTGACAGCAGGAGTGAGATTTTCCAATATATCTCGCCTAAGCAGTATAATGTGATCTTTTGTTGACAACGTTTCGCTCACGCAGTGTGCTTTATCAAGTCACAAACATCAAACATCAAACACAAACGTTGCCAATAAAGGATCACATTATACTGTTTAAGTGTTATATTTCCATCGTGTCGGTATTTTATATCATTTTTTCCATATCTCGCCTGGCGAAGATCGGACCCGCAAGAGTCGTGTAATATCTACGTATTTATTTACTAATGCACGAACAGAGGCAGAAGCAGTAAAGAGATCTTCTATAGCTATACGTCTTACACCGCCCATTTTAACCACTTATCACTAACCTCCTGGTTGGTGACTCTCAGGTAAGATACATTGACCGTGCTTTTTGTAATAGGAATAAGAAGATGAGAGATAGAGTGTGCTTCCCTGGAGCTGGTGTTGGGGACATTGTCAACAGGCTGGATAATATCATGTCAGGTAATGGGAGCAAGCCCATTATCTGTCTCAGTGCTGGTGGAAATGATATTGGGAAGGGTAGGAGAGAAGAGCTGCTAGATAAGTACAGGTCAGCTATAGATTTCATTAAGTCTAAGGGAGGGATCCCAATCATATGTAGCATCTTGCCTAGAAGGGGAGTAGGAAATGAATGGTTGTCTAGGGCAATTGGTGTAAATTGCTGGCTAGACAGATACTGCAAGGAACTTGCAATCCCATTCATTGACAACTGGAACAACTTTTATGGCAAACATGATATGTATGCAAGGGATGGGGTACATCTCTCTGGGGCTGGGGTGGTAGCACTTGCAGACTCGATTGAGAAGGCCATTGGTGAAATGCCTATGATTTTAAACTGATGGAAGATAGAGGTATGGGTGTGTGTGGGAAACAAGCAGGTTGCAACACTAGGGTTGGAAACAGTAAATGTATAAAAGGCATTCAGCATGAAGTTATAAATAAAGACAATAGATCATGTCAGCAAACAAAGGGGGACAGCAGAGGGCAGCAAGGGACTAGCTCCCTTAAGGTTTACTATACTAATAGCAGGAGTGTAAGAAATAAGATAGATGAGCTAAGATTAATTGCAAGTGCAGGAGACATAGATATTATTGCTATAACAGAGACCTGGCTCAATCTGAAAGATAGAGAGATGCCCTCTGAATGTCACATACAAGGCTATAAATTATTCCACACTGACAGGGTCAACAGGAAAGGTGGTGGAGTAGCGATGTATGTCAGAGACAATTTAAATTGTTGTGTTAGACAAGATATTAAATTAGAAGCGTCAGCCACTGAATCTGTTTGGTTACAGCTTCTCGAGGGCCGAGAAAAACTAATTTTGGGTGTGATTTACAGGGCCCCAAATCTTGATAGGGAGTGCAGTAAACTTCTATGGGACGAAATTCGTAAGGCATCTACATACGAAAATGTTGTGCTAATGGGAGATTTCAACTATAGACAGATTGACTGGAGCAATTTGACAGGAAATTTAGAGTCAGGTGACTTTCTTGATACGATCCAGGATTGTTTTTTAAAACAGTTTGTGACAGAGCCAACTAGGGGAAATAACCTCCTTGACTTGGTTCTTGCCAGTAGGGAAACACTAATTAATAATCTTGAGGTTAATGATGAGCTTGGGGAAAGTGATCACAAATCACTCAGTTTTAATATATCATGGAATTCCCCTAATAATGGCAATCAAGTCTCCGTCCCTGACTTTCGCTTGGCTGATTTCATAGGACTGAAAAATTACTTAGGTGGGCTGAACTGGAATGACCTGACTAAGGGTCAGGTAGGTGGTGATGGTTGCCGATATGATGCTTTCCAGGGCATAGTTCTAGCTGCTCAGTCAAATTATGTTCCAAATAGGGAAATCAGATCAAACAAAAATGATCCTAAATGGATGAACAATAGATTAAAATATCTGATTGGTCAAAAGAGAGGCATATATAGGCAAATCAAAAGAGGAGAGGGGCAATTGAGAAATCGATATATTCAGTTAAAGAGAGAAATTAAAAAGGGAATTAGAAAAGCAAAAAGAGATTATGAGGTTAAAGTTGCAAGAGAATCGAAGACTAACCCAAAAGGATTCTTTCAGGTATACAGAAGTAAGATCAGGGACAAGATAGGCCCACTCAAAAGTTCCTCGGGTCAGCTCACTGACAGTGATAAGGAAATGTGTAGAATTTTTAACACATACTTCCTCTCAGTTTTTTACACAGGAGGATACCAGCGATATTCCAGTAATGATAAATTATGTAGAACAGGACGATAATAAACTGTGTACTATTAGGGTCACAAGTGACATGGTCCTTAGGCAAATAGATAAATTAAAACCTAACAAATCCCCAGGCCCCGATGAACTGTATGCAAGGGTTCTAAAGGAATGTAAAGAGGAGCTTAGCACACCTTTGGCTAATCTTTTCAACATATCACTACAAACTGGCATGGTGCCAGATAAGTGGAAAATGGCAAATGTGATACCTATTTTCAAAACAGGTGACAGGTCCTTAGCTTCGAACTATAGACCAATAAGCCTAACCTCCATAGTGGGAAAATTTATGGAATCAATAATTGCCGAGGCAGTTCGTAGCCACCTTGAAAAGCATAAATTAATCAACGAATCTCAGCATGGTTTTACAAAGGGGCGTTCCTGCCTTACGAATTTATTAACTTTTTTCACTAAGGTATTTGAGGAGGTAGATCATGGTAATGAATATGATATTGTGTATATGGACTTCAGTAAGGCTTTTGACAGGGTCCCACATCAGAGACTATTGAGGAAAATTAAAGCACATGGAATAGGAGGAGAAATTTTTTCCTGGATAGAGGCATGGTTGACAAATAGGCAGCAGAGAGTTTGCATAAATGGGGAGAAATCAGAGTGGGCAAGTGTCACGAGCGGTGTTCCACAGGGGTCAGTGTTGGGCCCCCTGCTGTTCACAATCTACATAAACGACATAGATGAGGGCATAAAGAGCGACATCGGCAAGTTTGCCGATGACACCAAAATAGGCCGTCGAATTCATTCTGACGAGGACATTCGAGCACTCCAGGAAGATTTGAATAGACTGATGCAGTGGTCGGAGAAGTGGCAGATGCAGTTTAATATAGACAAATGCAAAGTTCTAAATGTTGGACAGGACAATAACCATGCCACATATAAACTAAATAATGTAGATCTTAATATTACGGATTGCGAAAAAGATTTAGGAGTTCTGGTTAGCAGTAATCTGAAACCAAGACAACAGTGCATAAGTGTTCGCAATAAAGCTAATAGAATCCTTGGCTTCATATCAAGAAGCATAAATAATAGGAGTCCTCGGGTTGTTCTTCAACTCTATACATCCTTGGTTAGGCCTCATTTAGATTATGCTGCACAGTTTTGGTCACCTTATTACAGAATGGATATAAATTCTCTGGAAAATGTACAAAGGAGGATGACAAAGTTGATCCCATGTATCAGAAACCTTCCCTATGAGGATAGACTAAGGGCCCTGAATCTGCACTCTCTAGAAAGACGTAGAATTAGGGGGGATATGATTGAGGTGTATAAATGGAAGACAGGAATAAATAAAGAGGATGTAAATAGTGTGCTGAAAATATCTAGCCTAGACAGGACTCGCAGCAATGGTTTTAAGTTGGAAAAATTCAGATTCAGGAAGGATATAGGAAAGTACTGGTTTGGTAATAGAGTTGTGGATGAGTGGAACAAACTCCCAAGTACCGTTATAGAGGCCAGAACGTTGTGTAGCTTTAAAAATAGGTTGGATAAATACATGAGTGGATGTGGGTGGGTGTGAGTTAGACCTGATAGCTTGTGCTACCAGGTCGGTTGCCGTGTTCCTCCCTTAAGTCAATGTGACCTGACCTGACTAGGTTGGGTGCATTGGCTTAAGCCGGTAGGAGACTTGGACCTGCCTCGCATGGGCCAGTAGGCCTTCTGCAGTGTTCCTTCGTTCTTATGTCCTTATGTTCCGCATTGCTCACATGCATTAACGCTAACAACCTCTCCCATTCCACCCAGGATACATACTTCATTATAGGAAATGGTAATTCCATAGCAATATTAACTCCAGCTCTGTTGTATGGTAACCTTAGAATGAATTACAACGCAAAACCAATATGAGTCATTATGAGCAAAATGTAGTGAAGGCTTGATACACCGTTAACAGCCAAGAAAATCTGCTGTATGAGAAAAAAAATGAGATATATTCTCGAATATCGAGACACTTTTCCAAGTTAAGTTACGATGTGGTTCTGTTGATTGTTATACATTATTTCTGTGGAAAATTTTAACAATTTTCCTCTAATTTGTATGTGTGTGAACTGCTGCCGATAATAATGTTTATAAAATCTCGTGTAGGTGCATATCCTCAGTGACTTTTAAAAGATGTTCTGTGGCAAGAACTAATTTTTTCTATTATTTCATTATATTCAGTAAGGAGTTGAATAAGTGAAATTATTGTAGCTTAGAGGAAGTTAATATTTTAGTAATTAAAATGTAGTACAAACCTGGAAGTGTTACTAAATTAATTGAAAAGATGTACTGGTAGACAAAAAGTTGGAGGACAGCAACGAAAATGGCGGAACATGTATATTAACGGGGGAGTGTTGTTGAACTTGATCGTGGGTAATCGAAGCCGATGAAGAGTGTATCAGCGATAACTGGAGACCACGAAATAAATGAATATCATAGGTATCTGGAAAGGTTCAGATACGCAGTAATTTGGGCATAATAAAGCTGATAATGAAGATAATACTGGAAGCGGTGATTGGACATTTTGATCATCGTATGTACCTACAACAATTTTATTTCGCCTCCTTATATATGGTATCAACCCACCAAATAGGTGAGGTATCAAGTATTGACCAATATTTAGCATACCTGTCAGCTAGGGAGGCGTTAGGATATATCGCCAAGATTATAACTTGGTAAGTAATTCTTGTAGTCTACATTTATGTACACTTAATTTTGTGAAAATTATGTAAAATTATATAAAAATGGTGAGTATAATAATTTTAAACTGTGGACCAACAAATTACTTAGAATTGTCAAGCAAAGTAATTTTTCAGTAATATATACAGTCCATAACTAAATTTAATACAGACAGTGTTAGTGGCTAGAAATATTTGTTTAATAATTGTACCTGTGAAACTCACTAACGTAATTTCTAATAATTTCAGTGGATCAAATAAACAAGGAAATGTCATAGATACACAGTCAGTGATCTGGTGACTAAAGCTCTCGCTTCACACGACGAGGGACCAGGTTCGATTCCCTGCGAGGGTAGAAACATTGGGCGTATTTCTTTACACATGCTGTCTATGTTCACCCATCAGTAAAATGGGTACCTGGGTGTTAGTCGACTGGTGTGGGTCGCATCCTGGGACAAAATTGAGTTAATTTGCCCGAAATGCTCTGCATAACAAGCGGCTTTCTGTATAATAGTATGTCATTGATGTCAACTAGGACTGTATACCTTGTACATGTACTTGTAGAAATAAAGATATTATTATTATTATTATTATTATTATTATTATTATTATTATTATTATTATTATTATTATTATTATTATCTAGGGTAACTCACACAAATCTTGATCACGTTCATTCCGTCCCTTCCAGGTTAACTGAATCGAAGACAAGCAAGTAATTCTGCCTTACACGCGAGGCAGACAATCAACTTATATTTAGACAGCCACTGGATAAAAGACTGACTTTCTATTCTGGGGTAATTTATGGACTAGTGAAACTACTGGTGACTGACGCTCGTGATGACCTGATCAACCAATTTCATATATTCTCTTATAAATTCCTAGAAATATCAACTGCTGATTATTGCTCGTGAATTTCATAGCAAAACGGTAAAGTTCGTTATGATGATGATGATGATGATGATGATAATGAGGTGATGATGATGATGATGATGATAATAATAATAATAATAATAATAATAATAATAATAATAATAATAATAATAATAATAATAATAATAATAATAATAATAATAATGTAATTTTTTGACTAGCCCACAGAATGGATAAGGGGATGCATAAAAACTAACTCACCCTGTGTACGTTTTCTTCAGTGACTGTGCGCTGCGGTGTGGTTCGCGTCATGCATATACAGAGACCAGTGAGCGGGGTGGTCCTTGGACTGCCAACAAACAAACGCATCCGACGACTGTTCTCTGGTTCTGGCTCACCTGTCCCAGAGAACAAATGAAAAAAAGGCATAATCAACATTAACAATATAATGATTAAATACGCAAGGTGATTGAAATGCTTTTTGTTTTGGCTTGGCTGCCGAAGTTTGTACTGCAGTCCTAGGATCCGTACAAATTGAGAACATATCTATCACAAATTCTACTCAACCAAAAGCGAAATGGTACAAATTCTATGTTTGGGGCATCTGTAAGCATGGAATATCAGGAAAAAAAAATGGAATATGCAACTATGAGCATCCCAAAAAATGCCACGACCGCCTGTCTTAAGGAGTGCGTTGTTCTACCTCCAGCAAATTATTTTACCTGGAAATGTGCCACTCTTCAGTTCTCCAAAAACAGTGCTACTACACCAAATGCCCTGGATACCATCTGAAAGGGAGCAAGAGGTACAGATCAAATAAAACAAACCAAAATAGTTACGACAACCTCACTCCAAGTAATTTTTAGTGGCAGGAAACGAAGAAAGAAAATGGAAGGAAATAGCCTTGTTGGACTGGAGGCACAGGCAGTGCCTCTCCCTCCCCATAACACTCCAGAACCACAACTACTGATGCCAACAACAAAATCCCCCAAGAAACACACAATACGACCTCGTTTCTATATGCTAATATATAGGGCCTTAAGCCATCCACCAACAACAAAATACCTTTCTTCAGTGGACTTCTAGAGGAGTCAAATTTAATGTTTGCAGTCTTCACAGAGACCCACACAAAAGATCATTTTGACAACGAAATTTGGATAACTGAGTACAGCCTCTATAGATGCGACAGAAAGAACATGCAACAAGGATGGGGGGGGGGGGGGAGTCTTTATGTCAAAAAGTCGCTCATCTGCACAGAGATGCAGAACACCACAAATGATGTAGTTAAGTTCTAACAATAAGGATCGAGAACCAAAACCTAGTCATCGTGGTTGTATATAAGCCACCAGATGCAACCTCCCAACAGCTCAAGGAACAGCTACCGAAAATTGATTACTATCTGGAAATCTTACTGCTTGATGATTTCCATCTAAGGCATACAAAATGGAAGAATGAAGCAAATAATGTTATAACAAACAATTCCTGGAGGCAGCTCAGATGAAAAGTCACACATACACATGAGCTGCTGAATCTCTGCAATAAACACACCCTAAGTCAGCAGATAGTGGAGCCAAGAAGACTGGAAAACACACTTTACCTTATAAGAACATAAGAAAGAAGGAACACTGCAGCAGGCCCTCTGACCCATGCGGAGCAGGTCCATGTCCCCCCCCGGATAAGCCCAATGACCCACCCAGTCTGGTCACCTCCACTCAAGGAAGGAGCACGGCATCAGACCCAGTAGCACAAGCTAGTCAGGTCCAACTCACACCCACCCACACAAATAATGAGGACCTGGTAAGAAACAACAAATTCCGAACACAATCTAATCAAAATTCAGACATACATGCATGGGGTTCTTGACCAGCAAAATACATGCAGCTATGAAGATGTCGTCACTAAATACAACTTCAATAACAAGAACATCAACTGGGATCAGGTGAACCATGTCTTAAATGAAACATGTTACGAAGATGTCTTAAATAACAAAGATCCAAACCAGTGCCTAGAAAGGCTCAACTTCCTAGCAGCTGAAGTAAGTTCAATGCATATTCCCCTAAGAAAGAAGAAGAGAAGAAGTAAACTGGAGAGAGAAAGACGCTCCCTCTACAGAAGACGACGAAGAATCACTGAGCTCCTCAAATATGCTAGATTATCTGATACACGGAATGAAGCACCGACCAGGGAAGTGGAAAATATCGAACTAAAGTTAAAGGACTCCTACAGGACCCAAGAGAGACAAGAGAGGCTAAAAACGATTAGTGAAATTGAGAGAAATTCGATATATTTCTTTTCATATGCCAAAAACAAGGCAAATACCACATCTAGTATCGGGACCTTGCTCAGACAAGATGGGACCTACACAGATGACAACAAGGAAATGAGTGAGGTACTGAAATCCCAATACGACTCTGTGTTGAGAGAGCCAATAATCAGTCTGAAGATCGATAATCCAAATGATTTTTTCATGAATGAGCCTCAAAACTCCATCAGTGTATGCCAGTTTTTCGACATTACCCTAACTCCGACAGACTTTAAGAAAGCCACTGACAACATATATATATATATATATATATATATATATATATATATATATATATATATATATAATATATATATATATATGTATATATGCAATAAGATCACAGTAAACAGGTGATTTCAGAATATGCAAAACAACCACTGTGAAAGAATAGAGAAATTCCAAGCGCTTTCGTGACTACTCACATTATCAAGGAACCACCCAGGGAGGTACTACCGTCCTGCCAAGTGAGTGTAAAACGAAAGCCTGTAATTGTTTTACATGATGGTAGGATTGCTTGTGTCCTTTTTTCTGTCTCATAAACATGCAAGATTTCAGGTACGTCTTGCTACTTCTACTTACACTTAGGTCACACTACACATACATGTACAAATATATATATATATTATATATATATATATATATATATATATATATATATATATATATATATATATATATATATATATATATATATATATATTTATACACACATCCCTCTGGGCATTCTTCTATTTTCTTTCTAGTTCTTGTTCTTGTTTATTTCCTCTTATCTCCATGGGGAAGTGGAACAGAATTCTTCCTCCGTAAGCCATGCGTGTTGTAAGAGGTGACTAAAATGCCGGGAGCAAGGGGCTAGTAACCCCTTCTCCCGTATAAATTACTAAATTTAAAAAGAGAAACTTTCGTTTTTCTTTTTGGGCCACCCTGCCTTGGTGGGATACGGCCGGTCTGATATATATATATATACACACACAAGGACAATAATGCTGCTGGAGACCGAGCTTCAGAAGCAAGTTTCATTAGGCTACTAGGGCTAAGGACAGTATTTTTAAACTCGCTCGCCAGGTGTAGCTAAGGTTCGTATCAGTTCTCATGCCTGCAACACCTTCACTAGTTGGTTTCAAGATGAGAATTTCTCTCGCTCTTACTGTTTCACACCTACACGTAAAGAAGTGTAAAGAATGAATGCAACGGAAGGGTAATGTCGGAAGATCTAACCCCGTTAAGTTTCCCCAACTACCAGCGAACCATGGCTGAGAATATCACTTGACTTATTAACCAACTTCCGGTGTTCCCTCCATGTGTGATGGTTGATCATTTCACACGATACTGTGAATTAGTAATTATTGCCAAAAAAATTGCAGAGGCAGTAGTATTAGGGAATGAATTATCTGCAGGCATACTAGACCAAAGTTCCTTGTGACAAATAATGGAAATGAATTTTGTAAAGAAAAATTGTGTACTTTATGCAAGATCAGTAAGTCCACTATAGTCCTCCATCATCCTGCTAATAAAAGTTTAGCTGAAAGGAAAATCAAGAAAGTATTAGATGCTTTATGAATAACAATTAATCCAAACAGCGAAACATGGGATGAAGAATTCCTTGGTTTTCAGTGTGAAATTAATTCTGCATACAATGTATCGGTATTTGATACTCACTTTATGCTTTTTTGAACGTAATGACACGTAAGTGTACAGCACAAAGCATATTAAAGAGAATCAAAGAAATACTTCAAAAGTCAACAGCAGAATTTACTAGTCACGAATACTCGAGAAAAGTCAGCCAAAATTAAAGTAGGCTCGAGTCATATTAAATTCAGTGCCACCTCTGCAGTGCCAAAGTTTGATCAAAAGTTTTTAGGTCTTTATTGAGTTATTGAACATATAAGGGGTAATAAATACAAAGTTAGAGAAATAAGCAGCGAACAGAGTAAAGTGTCATATCTTCACTAAACGATGTTGATTTGTGATAATATTGGCGAGACTTCTGACAACCAGACTGGAGAACTAAGGTTTGACCAACATGACGCTGCTCTTTCCAGACCTAACCATCGTACTAGTGACCCTGTGAATTCTAGCCTTAATCTCATTTATTGTACTGAACACTCCATTGCGTATGTAAATCTCATCCTAAGAGAGTTTGAGTTGAATGTGAATACCTTGCAGAGAAAGGTCGTCACCTAAGTCATTTATTTAAAATCTTCGGGTTTTTGCTATACTTCGTAAGTTTTGTTTGACTGTATCATTGTATTGTGGCAGTGTCACCTTACATGTCTGCCATACTTTGTATAAAATAGTGACTATTCATGCATTTAGTTGCTTCCTTTTTTGTGTGTTCTTGTACTTTACTTAAGATTCTTAGTGTTTAAGAGTTGCTCTGCATGACTGTATGCCAAGTGACATGATTATGTATCAGGATACATGACTGTGTGCCATTCTGTATGACTGTGGGTCACTTTATATTGCACATTGAATATTCATGTCTTCTACGAGATCTGGACCTTAGCAGATGTGACCTGCTTGCAGCACGTTATCCTTCCCTCTTAAATACAGACGCTATCCTACTTACGAACATTCGAGTTACGAACATTCGGACATACGAACAGTATTTATTAAAATATGCTTTAGTGTTAAGAACCCTACATTACTGATACTGTGCACTTTACAGCATCGTCTTTAAGTTTTCAACTAACAACGGCGCAAAGAGAGAACAACAATAATAATGATAATAATATTAAAAACAATAATAATAATCGTTACAACAGAAAAATGGCAAAATAACAACTTACGAACAATTCAAGATACGAACAGCCTTTTGGAACGTAACTTGTTCGTAAGTTGGGGGCGTCTGTACTCTTCACTCTTGCATAAAACTAACTCCAAAACCCGTAAAACAACTGGAATGGCAATCGACTGATTCTCTCTTGATCTGTTATGATCCCCAGTGATCTACTCTGATTCACTATGATCCACGAGTATGATATATGAATTTTTCTGTTGTACAACATTATTTTGCATCGTATAGAATCACTGCCTGATATTAATCTCTGTAGAGTCTGACAGTTCGTTTACACTGTATGAATTGTTAGATAATGTGCTTGCATGACGAGAACACCATGCTTGTAGCATGATCCAAGCTGTCAGTAGTATGTTATGTCAATGGTATATCAGTATAATCACTTAGGAATTTGACGGTTGAGTTTGAGTCACTCACTGAACATTGATGCCTAACCTGAATCAGGTTACACCCCGATGTGCGCAAGAGTGCATGTGTGGGACAGCTGGTAAGGCTACCACTCAAGGGTATAAGACAGTTATAATGTAGACACCAGTCATATAACTCACGGCTGGAAAGCTCACGACATCCAGCCTTAAATTTTTTTTTTAATGAAGTGGACAGACAGTGCGTATTCTTCAAGGGTTATATTACTGTAGCAATCTCTAACTCTAATACAACAAAATCACTTATTCACACTGGATAAGAGTTATTAAATTTGGTAAAATTGACTATACTCCTACATAAGTTTGACTTATATTTTCGTTTTTATTTTTACAAAATTTAAATGAAATTTTCATATTTATTTCCTGTATCTTTGTTTTTAAGTGACTTACTGGATTCATACCTTTAAACACTAAAATGATCAACATATATTGTATAATATAAATTAGGATACCATGCCGGTGAAGGCACCATCCTGACTTGACAGCAGGACCACGAAGAGAGAGAGAGAGAGAGAGATAGACAGACAGACAGACAAAAAAGTAAGAATTAAGTGTGGGAATGTATTGGTGAAAGAGTAGATGAAAAATATGCAAGGGAAAGGAATTGTGAGAATGAAATGGTTTTCTTACATCAGGTTACAAATTTATTCACGGAAAACCATTCTTAACAATTATAGTTCCACTATATCACATTGACTTTTTGTAATGGATGGTTAATGCAACTTAAAGCTATTTACTATGTGAGGGTCATTAAGGTTATCTTACCACACTCTGTAAATAATACTTTAATCCCTAGCATAGGGATTCAATTATTCCTCTGCATATATACACTGAGAGACATGCGCATCTTGGTAAATAATTCCTGTTATGTGGCTTCCTTAGCGAGATTGATAATGCGTCTAACACTTCAAGGACGTATGATTCAAGGATTTTCGTGGTTACTTAGCACATTGAAAGTGAGCATCTACCATCTTGAGAGTGAGCTCCTACCATCTTGAGAGTGAGCTCCTACCATCTTGAGAGTGAGCATCTACCATCTTGAGAGTGAGCACCTACCATCTTGAGAGTGAGCTCCTACCATCTTGAGAGTGAGCACCTACCATCTTGAGAGTGAGCTCCTACCATCTTGAGAGTGAGCATCTACCATCTTGAGAGGGAGCACCTACCATCTTAAGAGTGAGCACCTACCATCTTGAGAGTGAGTACCTACCATCTTGAGAGTGAGCATCTACCATCTTGAGAGTGAGCACCTACCATCTTGAGAGTGAGCTCCTACCATCTTGAGAGTGAGCTCCTACCATCATGAGAGTGAGCTCCTACCATCTTGAGAGTGAGCATCTACCATCTTGAGAGTGAGCACCTACCATCTTGAGAGTGAGCATCTACCATCTTGAGAGTGAGCTCCCACCATCTTGAGAGTGAGCTCCTACCATCTTGAGAGTGAGCATCTACCATCTTGAGAGTGAGCACCTACCATCTTGAGAGTGAGCTCCTACCATCTTGAGAGTGAGCACCTACCATCTTGAGAGTGAGCTCCTACCATCTTGAGAGTGAGCATCTACCATCTTGAGAGGGAGCACCTACCATCTTAAGAGTGAGCACCTACCATCTTGAGAGTGAGTACCTACCATCTTGAGAGTGAGCATCTACCATCTTGAGAGTGAGCACCTACCATCTTGAGAGTGAGCATCTACCATCTTGAGAATGAAGACCTACCATCTTGAGAGTGAGCATCTATCATCATGAGAATGAGCACTTACCATCACGAGAATGAGCACTTACCATCTTGAACATGAGTACCTACCATCTTCGGTGTGTTCAGTTGCAGTAGAGTTACGTCGCGACTGGTGCATTTCTGTTGGTCCACTCACGGTGGAACTACGACGAGATGCACCACTTGAGGGCTGAGACAGTAGTGGTGAGGATGGTAGCTGTCAATAATAATAATAATAATAATAATAATAATAATATAATAATAATAATAATGATGATGATAATAATAATAATAATAATAATAATAATAATAATAATAATAATAATAATAATAATAATAATAATAAAATGTATATCAGTTGCTTCACAATCCGAGAAAGGTCTGCTCTATATTTCATTACCCCAGCCCCTGTACATCAATGCATGTGTAATGAATAGTGAACAGTGCAACACTAATTTCTAATGCACTTAAATGTTTGCAATGACGATTGTGATTCAGAAGAGGTACTAACAAGTTATCACAAGTTATCAGTTTCTTCAATTATAAGAACAAATTAGGGCATACACAGCACAAAACGAAATTAAACATCGTGTTAAAAAGTACCAGCTTTAAGGCCAAGCTGAAGGGGCTTTCTCTTATTGTCTCAGTGAAACTAATATTCTTAAATGTTATTAAATACACCAGTACATTAAATTTGAAGCCACTCCAAATTTGCAATATGAAATTAGGCGTATAAGTAATTAAATAAATGTCATTATATGAAATTTATGAAAATTTAACTTAGGGTGACACAATCATGTCAGACACTGTGATTAATTTCTGATCAGAAAAGACATTCTGCAGTTATTTCAGAGAAACTAGATTGATTAATGATAATTATCGCATTAAACCTAATTAAAATCAAGGCAAAACTTCATTTCAGGGAAAAACATCCGCACAAGTTTCAAGACGACCAAAAGTGGCATTCTCAGATTATTTCAGAATCCACCAAAATGTGAACCTCCTCAGTTTATGGGCAATGAATTTTTCCATCCATTTCATAAGATGAATCAGCCATTAAAGATCGATGTACTTCACAATTATTGTATTTTGTACTAATCCAGTAGGAGTCATGTAGTGCCCGTGAAATGTGAGGCATACAGATTCAATCCAAGGAAGGAGAGAATAAATTAATTTCCTTGGGTCAAAATACTCTCATCAGGGTCAAGGTATAATTCAATAATCGAACCAATCAAACACAAAGAGTAGTGAAGATGAAGGGTTCAGAGAACCGACACGTTGTTAAATTAGACACATGTGCAACTCTTGGGTATCTTTATTGAGGAAACGTTTCGCCACACAGTGGCTTCATCAGTCCATACAAAGTATAAACTTGAAGAACAGGAGGAGAATGAGGTAATCAGTCCCTCAACCTTGAGTCGATGATATACATTTATATAATATGTATAATTTATTTAATATATATATATATATATATATATATATATATATATATATATATATATATATATATATATATATATATATATATATATTATATATATATAATATAATATATATATATATATATTATATATATATATATATATATATATATATATATATATATATTATATATATATATATATATATATATATGATGAAAGATTGAATATCAGATTGGAGGGAGAGAGTATGGAGGAGGTGAACGTATTCAGATATTTGGGAGTGGACGTGTCAGCGGATGGGTCTATGAAAGATGAGGTGAATCATAGAATTGATGAGGGAAAAAGAGTGAGTGGTGCACTTAGGAGTCTGTGGAGACAAAGAACTTTGTCCTTGGAGGCAAAGAGGGGAATGTATGAGAGTATAGTTTTACCAACGCTCTTATATGGGTGTGAAGCGTGGGTGATGAATGTTGCAGCGAGGAGAAGGCTGGAGGCAGTGGAGATGTCATGTCTGAGGGCAATGTGTGGTGTGAATATAATGCAGAGAATTCGTAGTTTGGAAGTTAGGAGGAGGTGCGGGATTACCAAAACTGTTGTCCAGAGGGCTGAGGAAGGGTTGTTGAGGTGGTTCGGACATGTAGAGAGAATGGAGCGAAACAGAATGACTTCAAGAGTGTATCAGTCTGTAGTGGAAGGAAGGCGGGGTAGGGGTCGGCCTAGGAAGGGTTGGAGGAGGGGGGTAAAGGAGGTTTTGTGTGCGAGGGGCTTGGACTTCCAGCAGCATGCGTGAGCGTGTTTGATAGGAGTGAATGGAGACAAATGGTTTTTAATACTTGACGTGCTGTTGGAGTGTGAGCAAAGTAACATTTATGAAGGGATTCAGGGAAACCGGCAGGCCGGACTTGAGTCCTGGAGATGGGAAGTACAGTGCCTGCACTCTGAAGGAGGGGTGTTAATGTTGCAGTTTAAAAACTGTAGTGTAAAGCACCCTTCTGGCAAGACAGTGATGGAGTGAATGATGGTGAAAGTTTTTCTTTTTCGGGCCACCCTGCCTTGGTGGGAATCGGCCGGTGTGATAATAAAAAATAAAAATATATATATATATTATATATATATATATATATGTCGTGCCGAATATGTAAAACTGGTCAATTAGCAAGAACTCAGTTAAAGCTAAGTCCTTTCTAAAATTTTCTCTTATACGTTTATAGATTTATTTTTTTCATTAATGTTGATGTAAAAAATTATAATTTTGCACCAAAAGGAACTTAGAAAACTTTCCTAACCTTATTATAACAAGCGCAATTTATTTTAACCTAACTCAACTAAATATATTTTAGATTTGTTTACAATAATTAAATACTAAACAAGCACAGTGAAATACATTTTTTTCATTAGGTTCAGAATGATTTTGGCGAAATTATTGCATACACAAATTTTCGCTTGTCCTATATGGCAAGATGAGCGTTGCTATTTAAGCCAAGATCGCAAGTTCTGCCTATTCGGCACGACATATATATATATATTATAATATAATATAATATATATATATATATATAATATTATATATATATATATATATATATATAATATATATATATATATATATATATATATATATATATATATATATATATATATATATATATATATATATATATATATAAACCTAAGGAAACATTCATATTATTTTCAAAACTGCTTTTTATGAAACAAGATTCAATTATATTTCTGTCAACCATGGACTTGCTTGATACAACTTTCTCAACTTTTTGAAAATCAATTGGATGGTTAAAATCTCTCACGTGAATAAATAAAGCATTGGAATCTTGTCCAGTTCTAATGCTATATTTATATTGTTTTGATCTAAGTTCGAGACTTTTACCAGTTTGACCGAAATAAACTTTATCGCAAACTTTACAAGGAATCTTATAGACACATCCATCATCAGTATTTTGGGGGGAATTCTTTATCAAAACTTTTTTTACTGTATGAAGATTCTTGGGTAGAACAGTTTGTTGGTGAGTTGTGCAAAGGACCTGTCCAGTTGGGCCGGCGCGCGTCAGGTGTTTAACCGTTGTGGGATCTGATAGTGACGTGTTGGCCAGACCCCTTATATAGCTTCCTTGGATGCTTTACTTTCATAGTTCCTTGATAATGTGAGTAGTCACGAAATCGCTTGGAATTTCTCTATTCTTTCAGAGTGATTGTTTTGCATATTCTGAAATCAGCTGTTTACTGTGATCTTATTGCAATATATATATATATATATATATATATATATATATATATATATATATATATATATATTATATATATATATATATATATATATATATATATTATATATATATATTATATATATATATATATATATATATATATATATATATATATATATATATATATATATATATATATATATATATATATATATATATATATATATATATATATATATATATATATATTATATATATATATATATATATATATATATATATATATATTATATATATATATATATATATATATATATATATTATATATATATATATATATATATATATATATATATGTTACTAATATTATTAATATTGAGTATAAGTGGTGTTGTGTCTGACCTTGGTGTCAGTGTCGTCCTCCTCATGTATGGTACCATCGTCAACATTCTCGTCACACTCTTGATAGAACCAGATCATGTTGTTGTACTGCCCAGGCATAAGGAACTTACTGATCTCCTCCAGCTGTCCACACATAAGTAGACAAAGGTAAGTAAGAAAGGTTTTTCACATTTGAATACAAATAAAAGAAATATTCTCATGTTTTCCATCTTTATCCAAACATTTTTATAAAACATATTTTTTCCCACTATAATTTGAGATTTTTGGTTAAAAATCATTAGAATAAAAAATCATACTTGTATTGATTTTAATTAGCATTTCATACGTAATTAAAAATTTAGGAAAACATTTTTTCAGTGGTAATGACGTTAGATAGTTGTTCAGGGCACACATACATTGTTTTTATACAAAGAATTGTAGTATTATTATGCGTGGTCTTCATCTCCATATACATAGTAGAGCTACAGGTGGGGAGGGAAGCAGGAGGAGTAGGATGGAAGAAACCAAGCTACAAAAGAGGACACTACACAGGCATGAGGAATTTCCTGCTTGAGGTTCAGTAAGAAAGAGAACTGGTGGGAAAATCAATAAATGAAATGATGGACTACGTGACAACAAAATGTATGGAGGCAGAGTAGAGGTTTGTTCCCAAGGGCAACAGAAATAATGGAAAGACCAGAATAAGCCCTTGGTTTACCCAAAGGTGTAAAGAGGCCAAAACTACTTGTGCTAGAGACTGGAAAAGGTACAGAAAACAAAGGGCCCAAGAAAATAAACAGATTAGTTGAAGAGCATGAAATAAACATGCAAAGATAAGGAGGGAGGCCCAGTGGCAATACCAAAACGACATAGCATCGAAAGCCTAGTCTGACCTGAAGCTGTTTTACAGCCACATCAGGAAGAGGACAACAGTCAAGGACCAGGCAATCAGGCTGAGGAAGGAAGGAGGGGAATTCAAAAGAAACGACCAAGAAGTATGCGAAGAGCTCAACATGAGGTTCAAGGAAGCATTTTCAGTGGAGACAGAATGGGCTCCGGAAATCCGGAATGGTGGGGTACACTAACAAGTGCTGGACACAATACACACAACCGAGGAAGATGTGACGAGGCTGCTAAGTGAATCAGATACCTCAAAGGGGGTGGAACCTGAGAGAGGGAGCTGAGCTATGTGTGCCACTAACAACAATCTTTAACACATTCATCGAAACTGGGCAACTACCTGAGATGTGGAAGACAGCAAATGTAGTCCCAGGTTTTAAGAAAAGAGACAGACACGTGACATTAGACTACACACAAGTGTTACTGACATGTATAGTATGAAAAGTCATGGAGAAGATTATCAGAAGAATTGTGGAGCACCTAGAAAGGAACAAGCTTATACACGAGAAACAACACGGTATCATGGAAGGGAAATCCTGTGTCTCAAATCTATTGGAGTTTTTTGACAAGGTGATGGAAGTGAGACAAGAGAGAGAGAGAGAGAGAGGGTTGGGTAGATTGCATTTTCTTGGACTGCAAGAAGGCTTGTGACACAGTTCCTCACAATAGGTTAGTGCAAAAGCTAGAGAATCAGGCAAGCATAACAGGAAAGGCACTGCAATGGACCAGAGAATACCTGACAGGGAGGCAACAACGAGTCTTGGTACGTAATGAGGTGTCAGAGTGGGCGCCTGTGACGAGCGGGGTTCCTCAGGGGACAGTCCAGGAGAAGTGCGGTTTCTGGTGTATGTGAATGACATGACGAAATGAATAGACTCAGAAGTGTCCCTGTTTGCAGACAATGTGAAGCTAACGAGGAGAATTAAATCAGAAGTGGATCAGGCAGGACTACAAAGGCATCTGGATAGGCTCCAAGTCTGGTCCAGTAACTGGCTTCTGGAGTTTAACCATGCCAAGTGTAAAGTCATGAAGAATGGGGGAAGGACAAAGAAGACCGCAGACAGAGTACAGGCTAGGGAGCCAAAGACTCCAAACCTCGTTCAAGGAAAAGAATCTTGGGGTGAGCATAATATCAAGCACATCTCCTGAGGAACACATCAGCCAAATAACTGCTGCAGCATATGGGCGTCTGGCAAACCTAAGAATAGCATTTCGGCATCTCAGTAGGGAATCGTTCAAGACTACACCGTGTCCGTCAGGTCCATATTGAAGTATGCAGCACCAGTTTGGATCCCACACCTGGTCAAGCACGTCCAGAAATTAGAAAAGGTGTAGAGGTTTGCAACAAGACTAGTCCTGGGGCTAAGGGGCATGTCCAACTAGGAGAAGTTAGGAGAAATCTATCTGACGATACTGGAGGACAGGAGGGATAGGGGGGACATGATAACGACATATAATATACTGAGAGGAATTGACAGGGTGGGCGGAGACATGATGTTTCAGAGATGGGACACAGCAACAAGGGGTCATAATTGGAAACTGAAGACACGGATGAGTCACAGGGATGTTAGGAAGTATTTCTTCAGTTATAGAGTTGTTAGGAAGTGGAATAGTCTGGATCCATACATAGCTTTAAGAAGAGGTATGATAAAGTTCATGGAAAAGGGAGAGAGTGGACCTAGTAACGACCAGCAAAGAGGTGGGGCCAGGAGCAATGGCTCGAGCACTGCAATAACAGTTAGGCGAGAACAATTAGGTGAAAACAGACACACAGATACACACAAACACACACACAAACAGGTATGATAAAGCTCATGGAGCAGGAAGAGTGACCTAGTAGAGACCAGTGAATAGGCAGAGCCAGGAGCTTTCACTCGACCCTTGCAACCACAACTAAGTGAGTACAACTGAGTATACACACACACACACACACACACACACACACACACACACACACACACACACACACACACACACACACACACACACACCACACACACACACACAAACACACACACACACATACACACAGTCACACAGTCACACAGACGTGGGTGCACAAGGCTCCGAAAACCTTAGTGTTTTTAAGGTGCACAGTAACTGCTAGCAGTAATCAGTGGTAGTGACAACGTCAGTGAGCAATCCTACGAGTGATAACCAATGTTATTAGTTAAAAAAAAGTCGAGAGGAAGTCTGAAATCATTAATATTTCAAAGTGCCAAACCGTTAGGGGTCTAGTAGGCACCTGTTGCCACACAGTTTCAAATATACAAAGACCAAAGCGAGTGTGGAAGCGGGTGTTCAAGAATTACGAGAGACTGGTTAACAAGTGAAATGTGGGGCACCATACAGTGAGAGTGAAAAGTTAATTAGCGAAAGGAGAAAGGAAAAATAAAATATATAACTAGGGAAGGTGGCAGGAGTAGGCCTGCTGAAGCAGTGACGTCACGGTTGTGTGCCATTATACATATAAAGTGTAACCGCCGAATGTGAAGTGTATTCCATCATAAGTGAAAAGTGAAATCACTTGAGGAATGCGGGATGTATGAGCATATATGGTTATAAACATCACAGGTGAAGGATTTTCAAAATAGTGATACAAGGCCTATGTACGATTACTACGTCATCAGCATCTGGCAACTTGTCATCGCCTCACTGCCAGCGCAAGTATTGCTCACCTATTGTGGTTGCATGTTGTCAGATTCTGGTCTCTGCTTCACTGTTAGATACTGGTCACTCCTGCAAGCTATTACTAGAATTAGAGTAGAAATATCATAGATAAGGTGGAGACAGGGTTGACGAGAGTGTGAGGAAGTGAAGCGGTCTAGCGAGGGATAACGTCAGACACTTGTAGAAGTTGAGAGAAGCTAAGTTTCAGAACCTAGTTACTTTCTGTATTTTATAAGTAGAATTGATAAGTCTTAGAATTACTATTGGTAAGTTTTAGAATTACTGGTATTACTATTGGTATTTATTAGCAGTATGAATACTTAGAAGTGGGGGCACACTCACACATACACACACACAGGAACCATACACAGTTTTAAGACAAGGTTTGATAAAGCTCATGGAGCGGGGGGAGAGAGGGCCTAGTAGCAACCGGTGAAGAGGCGGGGCCAGGAGCTAGGACTCGACCCCTGCAACCACAAATAGGTGAGTACAAATAGGTGAGTACACACACACACATACACGAGAGTGGAGTAACAGTCACCCCACAGTCAACCACATACCACCTACCTCCCCTACCCATCACTGGACATCCGGTCCAAGCCCTCTCTCCCTCACTCTCTCTCTCTCCTTCTCTCTCTCTCTCTCTCTCTCTCTCTCTCTCTCTCTCTCTCTCTCTCTCTCTCTCTCTCTCTCTCTCTCTCTCTCTCTCTCTCTCTCTCTCTCCCTTTCTCTCTATCCCCCTCTTACCATCTTTCCCCTCCCTCTGCTCTAGCTCTATCTCTTCCTTTCTATCTTCTCTCTCTACGTCTCAGTCTCTCTCTCCCCTCCTCACACACATCTTCCATTCATCTTCCCTTTCCTCCCTTGGCCTCCCCTAACTCCCCTCCCTCCCCACTAATTATCCCTAGCCTTCTTCCCATCATTCTCTCTCCCTCTCTCTCTATCCCTCTCTCTCTATCCCTCTCTCTCTATCCCTCTCTCTCTATCCCTCTCTCTCTCCCTCCCTCTCTCTCACACACAAGCTCCTTTCTGTGGTAAAAAAAAATGGGTAACCCAAGAGGGCGGAGACCCAGGGGTCTGGAGGTCGAACCCAGGATAGAGGAACCTGGGAGGGAAGACTGGGAGGTAGAGCTCACAAAAATGGAGGAAGAGTGGGGAAGGAAGCTAGCTGAGCTCGGCAGGGTAATGGAGGAGAGGATAGCTGAAGAGAGCAGGAAGTGGGGACTACAAGTCTTAGCAGCAGAAGATAAGATAAAGTGCTTAGAAGAGGAGCTAAAAATATTGAAACAGAATAGAGAGACAAATGACAGCACAGGAATGATATCAGGGACTTCTATGCCAGTCACAGATGAGGGGGCTGGGATTCAGAAAAAGATGAGTACAGGAAGACCAATCGTGAAGCCCCACCCCCACCACAAACCCCACCTACACTGTGAAAACCCCAGTGCAGCTGAACAATCTCAACCAACACCCACACGCTGTTCCCCCTGCTCTCACCCCTACACATCACAAACCCCGCTGCCACAGCGGCTCCCTATGGACACTCTGCCCTCACCCCCACCACAAATCCCACC